TAGAATTATTTCACACCTTAAATAGTTAATGCAACACATTTTTAATGTAATTACCTATTATATTCTTATATTACATTTTTTTTCAAAATTCTACATTTTTTATTTCTTAATAAATTAAAGGGTATAATAGTTAATTAAGATTAAAAAAATGCAACATTAATAATTGAGAGTGTGGTAATAAAATCCTTGGATTTGAAAACTAATTACATATTCTAATATAATTGGTTTTCAAATTTATGTATCAATATTTAATATGGTGGATTTCTAAATTTTGAATTGAGTTTTAGTTTTTAAATATACAGGAATTAATATTAAATAAGTTAAATTTTTAAATTTTAAATTAAATTTTAATTAATTGAAATGACATCTTTTAAGATTAAGACTTTATTGCCAACTACCTAAATAGTCATTTTGCTAGAAATAAGAAGTCAAGAATTAGAGTCGCATAATATGTGGATGAGGTGCGATAAGAGATAAGAGTGATTGTCTCCCATTGTGCAACTAAAATAATTAAAAAAAAAGATTAGAACTTTATTTTTCTATTAGAAGTCGATACTACTTACTAGTACATACTAACCTTATATTTAAATTAAATTTAAATTTTTATAATAAATTTAAAATTTTAAATATAATAATAGTTACTAAATATAAAAAAATAAAAACTCAAAGCCCAAAATTAAAATTATACCAAATGGAGCCTAATTAAAATAATTTATACGTCAATAATATTGGGGAGGATTATATTTTCTTATATAATTTATCATTATCAGATGTACCAAAAATATATGTTAATAGTATTAAAATAAGTGTTACATTTTTATAATTGTTTATATAAATTTATTATGAAAGGATGTATTTATTACATTTATAATCTATGCCTTAAACACTCACGATAGACAGAATATTTTATATATTATGTATTTACATTTTCATAACAAATCACCATGTGGGGATTAAATAATTCTACAATAACAATAATAAAGATATATCAGACCGCAAGATTGAACTAATACCCATCCATTCATTGATAGAAAACCGAAGGAATACATGTTTTTTAAAATTTATGGTTAAGATATTTCCAAACCAATTTTCTCTTCC